ATGACACTTAGTGGAGACAATTATCTACAATGCTTTGAATCATGACAAGTTTAATTCTTTAGAAAACTACATTTACTAGGAGTAGAAACAATCTCAATTTCAGAAGGACTATAAAACAGTTTTTCAAGTTCATTACTGTGGATGGCCCAACCCAGAGTGGATTCTCATTGGTTCAAAAATCCCATCTCACATAACTACACTACCATTCAAATGTTTGAGGTTGGTAAGATGTATTTAATGTTTTTGAAAGGAGTCTCTCACGTTGACCAAGGCTACATTAATTTGATAAAAAAAAATAAAACAGTAATATTGTGAAATATTACAATTTAAAATAACCAGTTCTTCAGTGTCTCATGATCCTTCAGAAGTCATTATAATATGTTGATTTGGTGCTCATGAAATATTTCTTATTATTATCAAAGTTGAAAACAGTTGCTAAATGTTTTTGTTTAAACTGTGACTTTTTTTAGGTTTCTCTGAGAAATATAAGAAAAGCATTTATTTGAAATAGAAATCTTTTGTAACATTTAAATGTATTTACTGCCACTTTTGATCAATTTAATTTGACCTTACAGAATAAAAGTAACAGATTCTTTAAAAAAGAAATTACTGACTCTAACCTTTTGAATGGTAGAATATTTAAAAAATGAATTCAAACTGACTCGTCCATCACACTAGGAGAAAGCAAAAATAATCACCTTAAAGCTGCAGTCCGTAACATTCTAGCCTACGTCTTGGAATATATGACCCAAATAAGAATTTTCACTGAATATTGTCATCTGAACAAGTAAGTAACAAGTCTGCCACATTTGTTCTGACCAACTGAGGGGAAAAAGCATTACAATAAATCGCGCTAACAATGGTGATTAAATCTAAAGATCGGTTAGCTCATATCACATCAAACCATGCAAATTATTATTATTGTTATACTTTATTCTCAAAGTACTAATGTTAACAACATCAGCATTGCGTGACTACGAGTAGTGTGTATTAGCGTGTAGATTTCAATTTCTGTGCAGTCTAATCTCTGTCATACCATTCGAATTTCATATTAAGAAATTATTTTAACCCAAAAAGCAAACTATGCTCCCTTTGAACTGGTTGTCTTTAAAATGCTAATTTTGTGTAATCCCAGGCTATCTGAAATCAGAAGCACATTTAAAACTAGAATATAATTTAATTTCATTCACATGCGTTTCATAAACACATAATACTTTCTGGATTACAATCTGCCATCAAAATGATACATTTAATTATTCTGGCTGCTGTGAGAAAAGGCTATAAACGATCCACCACCTGTAGGATTCCTTACATGTGATAGCCTAGAAGCCAGGACAACTTCTTTGTTTACAGACGTGACGTAATGATGCGGCAGCATGCTCGAATTTCCCGCAAAAACCTACCCGTACCACTCAAATTAGAAAACATAATTATAAGCGAACCGTTGTGAATCAGGCTAAAGTAAGGCGATAGTTTTGAACACTGGCTGGTTATGTACTTGCTCAAATATTGATTTTGGATCATTTTTAATCATTTGCAGCTTTAATTTATAACTAAATTATATTTAATTATTTTCTGATACACAAAATGAGGATTTAAATAAATTTATAAACACAAGAACACATTGTATACTCTGAATAGTTTGGCAGTCACTGTCATAATCGTTAGCAAACAACTTAGTGCTGGTCTTACTGTGTCCTCCAGACACATCCTCCAGAGGATGTGTCATCCTCTCAGCATATTCCCTATAATGCACTGTGACAGTATAATACATTTCTTCAAAGTCCCTTTAAGGCAAGTCATTTCAGTCAGTGGTCATCTTGGTAATGCACCCAGGCAGTTATTTTCTATGTGGGCATAGTGGTTTAGAGTAAACAAACCCTCCCACATGATCGTTCAAGAATAATACTAATGCAAACATTTATTTTCGACAGCTGCAGAGCTGCCAACCTGTACACATTTTGTGTATGCGTACATATTTTGACCTCAAAGTACGCTGGTACGATTTGGTTGAGGCTAGAAGGCCTACACAGCTACAGCCACTGGGCATGCGCACATCAATATTGCGTAACTTTTGTCACGCTGAACAACAACAATCACTGTATTTGCATTATTGTAAGGGATAGGTTTAAGGTTGGGGTAGGTGTAGACGGTAATAAAACAAAATCTAATAGGTAGCAAATTTAATTTCTTGTTACTTTCCGGCCGTAACAGCTGTATCCCTTGTCACACTAAACTATGCAAAAACCTGGTGACGCCTCTGTCCACGTGCAGTACTCAAATCAAAAGAAGAGTTCAACCAATCAGAGCGCTGGGTTAATTCCCCAAATAGCAAGTGGGGAGGACTGACAAATGTGTACTCATTAAAAAGAGACTGCAAATCAACAACAACAGAAAATCCAGCTCGATCCCCTTTCCACTCCCGCCATCTGATTGATTCATGCAAGGAGTTTTAATGAAAGAGTTTTTTTAAATAGCATTTTAAATCGCAGAAAAATTTGCCAAGCCATCAGAACCGAAACAAACCAAAAACTGTGGTTAAAAAAAACAAGTTTTGTATTGAACTGTGGGCTTACTGTATTGTTGCATCCCTATTTTTTACTCTAAAATACTGTATAACAGGAATAGCATTGAATTTTGCACATTGTGCAATTACAATTTGTACATTAGCCATCAAGGAGCTTCAGGTAATAATGTAGCTATCTCGGAATATATAAACGAATCCTAACGAAGGAATAATAAGCACCAGCCAAAAACACATTAGGGAACTATCTGGCATGTTCCCCATGCCATCCTACTGTAACATCTGGACTTTAATTGAGGTTCTGTGCTGTGTGGTAAAGCGGGGGGCTCATTAAGAATGAATGAGAAATGTGTCTCATGAAAGATAGATGTGGAAACATGCAGGTTACTGATTGCATTATACACTGCTACAACCCACTCTTCAGTTTTTACTAATGTGGGGGAGACAGACACAAGAGCTCCTAGAGACTATGTGAATGAATTATAGAGCAGAATAATCTAATTTTGAACACCAAAATGATCAAAGTAACTATTTTGGAGATGCGACTCAAGAGACGATATGATCTTTTTCGTGTATTTTGACAATTTTTTTTAAAAAATAAATTAAAAAGCCAAAATATGCTTTTTACTGTTTTGTCTTGCTTTTCAAAGAAAAAAAATCAATTACAAAACAACAATTTAAAAATATTTAACACTGAACATTTTTAACATTCTAGCAGCCACTATAGCCTACCAACAAAGCACAATTTAACTTAAAATTAATAAGTTAATAAAATAATCATTTTTGGCCATCAGACCCCCTTCTTGAATCAGGCATGTATTTTTTTTTTACTGTACAATTAAAAGCAGCCTTGCTGAGAAGAGACTTCTTTTAAAACATTAGAAAATATTACAGATCCTAATTTGAACACTATGTGTGAATGTTATAAAGCATTGTCACACATGCCTTGAAAAAATTCATAAAAATGTGACTGAGCAACTGATGACTGTATCAGCGCAGATTTTCCTCGCGCTTTGGACTTAGAACCCTGGTTGTGCAGCGCTGTCAGAATACATGCTATACGCTCGTGTATTAGAAAACATAACGTTCTGCAGTTTATTTACTAATTGTTTACGGCCATTTCGCGATTTCAGTCATCATACAGTAACCAGCAACAATCATCCCTTCCTCTTCTCATTGAAGACATGCGATGCAGTCCTAAACAGTCTCTCGCTGTCGGTGCTTGTAATGATTTTTGCGTCTTTCTCCGACAGTTTAAATGCTTCCACACTGCTGACGTGTGTGCTGCAAAAAACAGCAAGAAACTGCCCACATCTGTTCATCTGCCATTCACATTTAATGCCAACATGGACTGAAAACCTATTTATTTTCCTAATACACGTTCCTCAACATATTTTGTATAATTCAATGCTGCATGTTATTCTAAATACAAATATTCTGCCATAAGTTTTTTCATTAAACGTCCATTACAAAATAAGTCACATTAGCAAAAACAAAATGGGTTGTGATGGGTTGCTTGAGTATGAAACATACCCTCAAGTTGCTGTATCTGCATGGTCAGTTACTTTGGATAATAGCGTCAGCTAAATATACTGTAAATGCTATATAATGGATAGTTGCAATGCTGAGAATGGCAAAGTGAAACCCAGTCAATTTAGAGGATTTTGTTTAAAGGTGGCATTTTGCTGAAGACGCAAATCTTGAGCTATTTATTGTATGGGCCTCGATTGGCTCGCTGGTGCAGGGACACTTATGAGCTGACAAGCACAAATGGCTGCCAGTTTTCATCATGTTGATTGTAAATGCTTGTTATTTTGACCTTATTACAAACAAAAGTACAGTAACGTTAAATCGAGGCTTGGTAAATGATAGTTTAATGGATACACTGTTCAGTCAGGTCACATTAGGGGAGGGCGATATACCGGTAGACACGATTAACAGGTAGAGATTCTGGACTATCGTCTCTATCACGGTTACATGCTCATGTGACATTGCTGTGCTACGTGGTCACATAGAAAACATAACATTTGCACATGTTTTTAAGCATTGCCGTTTTTAAAAAAAGTGATTTTAAGCTGTTGAAATGTAATCAGCACCGAAAGTGAACTCATTTCGCTATATGCGCGCGATGTCTGAGAGAGGCGCACACACGTGAAGATGATGCTCATAGAGTGCGGAAGTATTAAACTAAGTTATTAATTTTGCTGCTTTATAGGCATTGAACAGTTGCAGTATTTTCATAATCGTTAGAGGCCGAAATCGAAACTAAATTTCGATTAATTGCACAGCCCTAGTATGTAGCATTTCTTATTTATTTGTTCTACTGCAGTTTTTTTGTCCTATTGCTTGTAATTAGTTTTTTATTTTTTTTTAATCAAACATATAAAGAGACAGAGAGGAAGAGAGAGTAGGGCACAGATGCTGAAGAGCTGAAGCCATCAGGCTATACAAAAGGTTGGAAATAAGTGACACTTACCTCGGGCATCAAAAAACTCATCATCTGAGCTGTCAACAGATTCCTGGGTGATGTTCTGCATGCGCCAGTGAGAAGCGCTTTGCTTGCGTAGGGTCGCTAAGGGGAGAACATGAAAAAGATACAATCAAACCAAAGGTCACAAGTGCTGCATGCAATTACTGAGCATTGTGTGACTAATTAATTAGACACGCATGATGACAGTGTTATTTAATATTATGATGTGAAAAAGTCCAAAGGAATAGAACGGCTGGGAATTAATTGAAAGCATGTTTTTTTAATTAAGACTGGCTAATGTGGAAATCAAAGTGTAAAATTTGAGATTCAGGAAATCAAAATGAGAGTGCAGATCATACTTAAGAGGACTTGTCAGAAGGTTGCTTCTATTGATCTTAAAAACCTTTTGATCTAAAAGTTTATTCTTAAATTCTTGAAATTAGTCATAAAATTAAATTAGACACACATATCTACACACATATTAAAACACACACATTCTACAAATCATTTTTTTTTTGTTTACATATATTTAAAAATAAAGCTTTTAATATTTATTTATAGTTATAGATTTTACATACACAAACACACTTCTGTCATGACAACTCTCGGAGGTATTGGCATGGTAATGTACATGACAATGTTAATGTATTTGGTCTTGGCAGAATAGATCTGCTACGCTGCTGCTGCGGCAGAGCAAGTACCGAGATTTGCTACTGCCAATACATCCACAACATGCTGCTGTGAGCATGTAAGAAATATTGCTGCTGCACATATAACACATTTGAATAACCCCCATATAGCATACATGTATCACCCCGTAGCAGATCTATCCAGGTGGAGCTGGGGGAGGTGAAGGGTTTCTGAACATCCCCATATATACAGTATATAATGTATGTATGTATGTATGTATGTATGTATGTATGCATATATATATATATGTATATACATACATACATTCATACATACATATACAGTGGGTACGGAAAGTATTCAGACCCCCTTAAATTTTTCACTCTTTGTTATATTGCAGCCATTTGCTAGAATCATTTAAGTTAATTTTTTTTCCTCATTAATGTACACACAGCACCCCATATTGACAGAAAAACACAGAATTGTTGACAGTTTTGCAGATTCTGAAGTGCGCTGCCAACTGCTACAGCAAACAAAAGCCAGGTATTTGAATACTGAGCAGCGAGCTCATTGGCTACCGATACAGGAGAGAACCAATCAGCAGCCATGTGACAATGACGTCGCCAGGTCAGATTGAGCTAGACCTATCGGACTGCGCCATCTAGAGTTTCATGCCAGAACTGTATATACATCCCCATATATACAGTATATAATGTATGTATGTATGTATGTATGCATATATATATATATATGTATATACATACATACATTCATACATACATATACTGTATATATATATATATATATATATATATACACTGTATATATAGGTAGGTGCTGATGTTTGACTGGTTGTGCAGTTAATGCACACATATTAATTTAATATGGACAAGCATTATGGTGTTGAAAGCACTGTGAGGTATCTCATGCTTTATCTTCAAGAGCTTTAAACAAAACCTCTTTCTAGAAAAATTATGACAACACAAATTCATCCCTTCAATGGCTGAAGACAGAGTACTTGTCAACTCTATGTTATGTTAGTGAGGCTGGTGGCTTGACTTCTTTCTGTTGCTGTTAAGATGAGCAAGGAGCAACCAGCAAAGATTTGAATTGTATTCTGTCTTCAACACAAGATGGTTCTCCCAGCAAATTAAGACAGCTTCTATATTACCCAACTTAGCACAACTCATTAGTACAGATAGCATAAAAATGCTCTTCACCAAATTATTTCCAACTATCAACGTGCTCACGAAGCATAGTCACAATAATCCGGGCCTTTTGGAACAACATGTTCTAATAATCATTGGAGCCCTGGGCTGTTTAAATCTAAAGTTAATATCGTTCTAATCTAATGACAGATAGCGGCAATAATGTAAATTACAAATCAGTGTAAGTCCAACTAAAGTTATCCTCTCCCAATCATATTAAGTGGGCCATGATTTAATAATTATAGATCGGTGTCATTGTGAGTGAACATATAGAGATGGGAATTTTTGATGCTTTATAGCTCAGCAAATTGCCTCTTTACACAAAGCATAAATCATTTTGCATTATAAGTAATGTGAATCCAGTAATTCACGCAGCCAGGCTTAGTGAGCTCACTGTTGCATTCATAAGGCTTAAAATCAAAGTGCACTGAAACAAGCAAAGAAAAATACAAGCACAAGAGATTAATCATGAAGAATCAATATCAGCAGTGCCACAGTAATTGATTTTACCCATTTGGTTGGCATTACTCGAGAAGTGTCACCTAAGCTGTCAGTTCTCTTCACCCTGCGGTCTTGTACCTGGACCTTAACATGATCCTGCTCACTCTGTTGAAACAATAAGGACCCTCACCTTCCATTACTGGGGTTCAGTGCAGCCCACATCACCCCACATCACCATGCAGGATTTAATGAGTTTTTCATCTCTCCCACAAAGCCGGCAGGTCAAAAGTTGGCACAATTAATGCGCCAAAGGAGACGAGTATCTCAGCCTTCTAAGTTTTCTGTTATAATCACAACGCATTTGACAGTGGCATCAACAGAAGTCTGCTTTTTCATTCCTGAGGCCTGTGTCTGGACCCAAGCCCTGCCAGACAACATCTAGAGATAAGTCACCATATAAGCCACCACAGAATTTCATTTAGAGTTCGAAAGTGTTAACATTATACAGTGGCACCAGAAGTATTTAGACACTGTAACCACACTTAAAAATTAACAAGTAGATATATGAATTAGTAGCATAAGTAGATGGTGGCATCTTCTAAGCAGTTTTTGAATTTTGAGTCCAAAATTTGTGATATGTTTTACCTGAAAAGTGCCCTTTTGCTATATTTATTTAAATTAAATGCCACTATGATATTTTCTTATCTAACGCAGTAACATTTTAAATTATAGATTAAGCCACTTCATATGTATGATTTATAATCGATAATATCATAGAAAGATAAGGAGAAAGGGGTTATGGATGCAGTAACTGAGCAAAAGTTCCACTTTGTGATCATAACAGTATAAATAGTGAAGAAAGGTTAACCAGCTCAATTAATTGTTTTACAGAAGTTACGGCAATCAAATTTAGAGCAGCCAAATACACATACAGTATTTTATTTTAAACATTTGATGGAGATTAAATGCTTTTTCCTTTGGGACGCAGGAGGGCAGGCGGGAATGTTTCATTAATGGAGTCTAAACATTGAGAAATGCTTTTAAAGCTTGGTAAATAGATTTGCAGGAGGAGATAAAAAGGTGCAGATTAGTTTGAATGAGGGAGTCCAGTGAGGAGAAGGGAGGGTAGATATAAACTCAGTTCCTGCACTAAAGCATCTCTAATTGAGTCTATTCAGCGTTCCCATTTTCACATTTCTAATCACATCGTCCATAATTCACCCTGGAATGAAGGCTGAGAAAAGGGAAAGGTTGACATTTTTTTGGCTAAGGAAGAACGCATTAGAAAAACATGAATGGTTTTTCAACCAGTAAAAGTGGTGGTCATGGTTTCACAAGCCATAATCAAAGTAATATTATAAACCACTGCATAACTGAACCAAGATGGATTTAATTACAAGTGGCATTGTTTGGCTGGCTTCAGCCTGGCAAGTCATGCAGGTGATTCTTTTTGCAGCAAAACAGCAACGCAATAAATCTGGCTGAGCATAGGATGTACTTCAGCCATGAAATTGGTATGGTCCTCATGAATTATACATTTACAAAAAAACTAATAATTTCTTCTGGTACTATAAAAGCCAAAGAAAAAATAATTTGGCCAGCTTCATTAATGTCAGTATAGCATGTGGACTTTTGTGTTTAATTATATCGACTACAGGGGGATTAAAGGAAATTGAACAAATGCTGAAAGGAAGTCTTCCTTTAAAAACACTCAAAATTGAGGTTTGACTAAACAAAAATTCAGCTGAAAGCTCTTAAGGAAATATGATTGTGGTCTCATTTGCTTTAAGACAATACTTTACTTTCAGTGTCTATGCCATTAAACTGGATGTGCTATAAACATATCAATGTGTGTCTGTATCCCAACATTTCTTATTCAAGGAGGTTTGAATATTTATCAAACTGATACTGGTTAGGATTCATCCCCATACAGGACAGAATCAACAACCTTTAAAGGCACAATATGTAAGTTTTCGTCACTAGAGGTCGCATTTTCAAAACAATAACAAAGGCGAAGCTTGATGATGCTATGAAAGAGAGTGGAACGATGGGAGATGTCGTTTTCACCATCCAGAGATGTCCGAATCATGTTCACGGATGTAATGAATGATTTTTTTTTACCTGTACCTTCAAAAGTTATTCAAACAGCGAATAAATTATAGAGAAAGCGAGCAAAGAACATTTAACGTTACATTGTCAAAGAACAGTATGCCTGACTTCAGTCTAGCGCAAGTTTAAGCACTCAAAAAAACTCCCCTTATAATCAGTAAAGCTGTCTATACACTATTTGATTAACTAATCTCCTACTTACATCATACGTACATCTGCACTTTGATGTTTATGATGAGAGAATACACTCAGCGAGCGCACGCACTGAACAAAACTCCGGTGTTTCAGCGATGACTCATCTAAACGCCTCTGATTGGCCTCTGCGTTCATAAACTCAGCAGACTCGTGTGTGATTGGTTATAACGCACAACACTCTAAAAATGCGGAAAAGGATTGACGGTGCAACATTGAGCAGATCTAAATTTAATGCTGCAGTCAACACTTTTTATTTCATTTTCATTTTATTCGCGACTGCCGCAATGGATTTAGTTTAAATGCAGCAGCATTTTTGTCCATAAGTGTTGCCATAGTTTCTACAAGTGGAAACCGATAGCGCGATATTACGTAATTGATAGGCGACAATGAACCGGGATGAACTATTATTTAAAATGGGAATTTCTCTGGATTTACAAATCCTTGGGAACCTTTGGGATAACATAAATGCACAACTGAATGAAATATATAACAATGTGCAAGTGGTTTTTGGATATTTTA